AGGAAGGAAGGAAGGAAGGAAGGAAGGAAGGAAGGAAGGAACTATAACACATCATGTTAAATTTGACTAGAAAGATACCTCCTTCAAAGTAGTAAGTTAGTCCTGGCTTTGTTGTTGTTTTTATTCTCCCTTTATACCTGCACGTGTCTATTTAGCTGCCTTGACAGGACAAAGAAAGAAAAGCTGGTTTGTTGTGCTTAAGCTCTAGTAGATGTGTACATTCTATTTAAACAAGGCTTTGGTCCCATCTTGGTTAGGATGTCTATCTTTGCTTTCAAGCTATTTCCTATCTTCATTGAAAGGCCTGGTGAAAGACAGACAGCATGGAGTTGAGATCTGGAGACTGACACCAGAGAAAACACAAATTTCAGCAGTTAAAGCAATTCAGGTGTCAGTGCAATCACCTTCGCAAGAATGCAGTAGCGGGAAAGAGACTTCTCCAAACGCGACCTCTTCCTTCACACAAACCCTACGAGAACAGGATAAGCAGACCCTGATCTGATTCCCAAAACATTTATTCCTAACAAATCCTTCATAATCTCTCGGAGGAGGAGGAGGAGGAGGAGATGGTTCCAAGTAAAACTGAAAAGAACATAAACTGCTCGAATGCCGTCTAATCAGAATACCCATCTTTCAAGCTCTTTCCTTCTTATTTAGCTTTTTTTCGGTGTCAAACTTGGTTAGTTTTTATAACAAGGGTCTTCAAACTTGCAAGTTTAAGGCTTGTGGACTTCAACTCCCCGAATTCCTGAGCTAACATGACTAGAGGAGGAATTCTGGGAGTTGGAAGTCCACAAGTCTTAAACTTGCAAGTTTGAAGGCCCCTGTTTTATGAGGACCATGTCTGAAATCTACGCCCTTTGGGAAGACCCCTCAGAAAGACAAGACAAATAACTAAAACACACACAAGGGGTTGCCAGGAGCTCAAAACGAGGTCCTTTCCTTGAAATCTGTTTTTCTAGAGCACCCAATGCTGATGGCAAAGCAGAAGTGACAATCTTCAGAGAAGCAGGCACTTAAATTCCTCTCGTCCCCCAGAAAGGGGATGTCAAACCAGAGTCAAAAGCAGAGACATTCTGTGGTTAAAGGGAATGTCTTCTCTCTCCAGGCCTTATGCTTGCAACCTACGTGTAACTGGCAGATACAATAAGATAGCCCTCCTTGACTGGTGTGGATTTCAAGTTGCCCAGCCTTTGGCGATATCTGGAGGACATTAGGTCAGCAGAAGGTACACTAGTAAAGCTTCACCCCCCTGCAAGCGTACGCAGAGGAAATCCAGGTACTAAGGCAAGATGGAGCAAGACCACAGCACAATCCTACTATCACCCTCATCCAGGGATGGGATTCTACCGGTTTGGACCGGTGATCAATTTGGTCGCGACCACCTGTCCTGGCTCTAGTCTGTCCTTTATTTCTGTGTATTGCAGCTCAGCTGTTTTACTCACCGGGGCTGCAGTAGGAGGTAAGTATCAGAGCTGAAAATGGGCGGTGTTCAAACACTGGCCGCGCACTCCCCAAACCAGCTGCTGCTACACCGGTTGAATCTCACCCCTGCCCTCATCATGTAACTAGAGACACCAGCGAAACACTGAACTCCAACAAAGATGTTTCCCAGAATGTGGTGATAGAAAGGGTCTTTTAAGTCAACTTCTTCCAGAATGACCTCATTGGAAGTCAACTTGGGAAGACGCCCAAGGAACTCAGCAATGAGGGGGTTGAAGCCTCCGGCTGGAACAGCCCACCACCTGTCTGCTGACTCATGACAACCTGAAGGACATTTCTTAACTATGTCACCTGGAGGGCGTGACTTCGGTTCAGAACCTACATAAACCTCTTCTTCTTTTTCTTCTTTCTTCTTTCTTTAAAAAAATTGTACAACAATGGTTCCGAGGGCTCCTTATATTTATAAATATATCTACATATTTACATGCACACGTACACATTTACAACTCGGCAGGCGGAGCACAGGTAGGCAGATGCGTGACGAGACACTGCTGCACCCAGACTTGTCTTTGACGAACCATAACTGGGCGGACATGACAAAGCACCACAGAAGGAAACCGCGCTGCGCCTAGACCAAACCGAACGCCATTAAAAACACAAGTTTGCTATGAAGCTGCTTATTTTGATTGCCAAGTCAACAATGAAGGCATTTCAGAACCAGAACTACCTCCTTCGTTCCCTTCTTCCTCCTTTCTTTTCTTTTTTCTTCCTCAAAAAGGAAAAAGTAAAACACAACACCTATAGTATCTTCATTGCACTTTAGGCCCGACCCTAAGGCACCTTCTTGCTCTCTCTCCCAAGGTTGCCTTTCTTCATTACGGCAACCGCTTCCCAACCTTGCTACTTCTTAAAAGGGCCAGGTGCCGTGTCCTTGCTTGCGAAGCGGCTTGTAGGACCCCTGGAAGAAGCAGATGTTGAGATTAAAAACTGTATTTCCTTGGGCATCTGGACTAAGAGGAGGGACTCCTCCTTCCTCGGTCCTCCTCCTTCCAGCCTCGTTCCACCCTAGCTACCGCAAGGATCCCATTTGCTCAAGGTGAGCTTCTCAACTTTTCAAAAGCAACCTCTTAATATATTGGGGAATACGCTTCCTCGGAGATTCCCTACCACCCTTTAAAAAAAAAAAAAAAAGAGCAGTGGACTTGTGCGCTCACTCTAGCTTAGCCCAAATACATTGGATTTCATCCATGTACTCCTTTGGCAGGGGGAGGGGGAAAAAAAGCATAGGATGGGGGTCTTTGAAAACAGCAGCACATGCACACCAAGCCCACATCATGATTTCCTCAGATCTCCTCCTCAATCTTGATGTCTGAAGATGCTTGTCCCATTTTCCCATCTACAGGACTTCTTCGCTGGGCTCCAAGCATTAAACATTATCCTTCAGGACCACTGTTGTTCTAGCTACGTCAAGCCCAAATCACTGGGAGGCCGATTGTAGGCCAAGAAATGCAAACTTGAGGTCCTTCCATGAAAGCTTTGGAGATAGGTCTTGCTTCTTGAGTTGTTTGCCCCCTTAAAAAACCAGATGGTAAAGACCATTGTCTTCTCCACCTCTTCCCAAGAGAAACTCTTCCTCGCCTTTTCCCAAAAGTTCATCACACCAAAGTTTCCTCTTGAGATCTTATTCGTCTTTCTCTTTGTCTAGCAACAGCTCTGGAAGGTAGACATTTCTCACTGCCAGTTAAGAAGGTGAGATGAGGAGCCTTCTCTTAATTTTTCCCCCCTCTTTTGAGCAGCTTGAACACAGAGGCGAGGCAGTGATTGTTCTCTCTTTTCTTCACCGGGTGAACTTCTGCCCTCAAAGTACGAACGGGATGAAAGCCGCTCTTTCAGAAGTTGAGGTGGAGGGATTGGGGAAGAATCATCATCAAGAGAATCTTCCATATTGCAGTGAGAATTGACCATGGTTTGCGTGCAGAGAAAGGGATGGAATTTTGTTTTTTGTTTTTTCCTTGTGACTTAAAAGCCCAAACTGAAGGGATGCACAGAGGGTGGTTCATAATCTTTGGATGTGATAATGGGCCGAAATTCTAGGTTTTGAGGGATAAAGTCCAGCTACCTTAGCCAATGTGCGATATAGGCTGATTTCTCAAAAAAAAAGAAAAAGAAATACCCCACAAAACTTATGGACAGCGCTGTATGTTCTTAAGTGTACACAACCATCTTTTCAACTGAGCCGGATTCTTTTTTTTTTTGAGGGGGGAAGGTATTAATGAAGCCTATTGACTTCAACTCACGCTTATTGCTGTCCGCTTTGTACCATTTGAAGTCCTGCCGTTCAGGATTTAAATCTTTGGGGAAATAGAAGATTAATATTATTTTTTTCCTGGGTTTTTTTTTTTTTTTTTTGTTTCCCTTCTTTTTTTTTTTTTTTTTTTTCCTTTTTTTTTTTTTTCCTTTTTGCTTTTGGATTTTTAAAAACAGTACAAAAATAAAGGATTTGCACAACGAGGGCTTAAAAGTGACTGGCTGCATTTCATTCTCGAGGGAAGAATGGATGGGTGTTGTTGTTGTGTGGCCAGTGACGTCTTCCAACTCAAAACAAACAAACAAACAAAAAAAAGCTTCAAAACCCACCAGATTGTTTCAGTCTAAAATTGTAAAACTTTCGTGTGTGCGCTGGGGGGGGGGGGGGGTTGTTTTCTTTCTTCTTCTTTTTTTATCAAAATCGAATCCATGCAGAATAGAACAGCTGGGCAAGTGCCCCCCTCCTTTCTTTCCATTTTACTTTTTTTTAAAAAAGAAAATATATATATATAACACCGTCAAGTTCCAAAATAAAACTCAAGTAAATTCCTTTGTCTCTCTGTGTGTGTATGTGTGTGCGCGTGGATGTCCACGTTTAGAAAACTGCACCATTTCCAAAAAAAAAAAAAACTTGTTGTTTTTTTTTGCAGTGAGGGTTTAAAAGACCTCCAGACGATGATGTGTTTCTCCGCACTTAATAATCGTCGAGGGTGGTCTCCAAAAATACGTTTCGGACATCCAATATTGAAGCCAATTCCAAAATGTGCTTTTGGAGGTGTGGGTTTTCCACGGTTTCATCCCTGGGCAGCTGCGGGTACGATTCGGGATAATTCCTCGTTTCCTGCTGGAGGAAGGAAAAGGAAGGGAAAATAAGAAAACAGCCACAAAAGGCAACAGAGCGGCTTCTGAAAAGGACATTGGAAACGCAGAATACCAAATTACAGCTGGAACAAAACGGCAATACGAAAGTCGTGGTACAAAGGATAGTGGTATCGCCGTGGCTTTGAAACGCTTCGAATTTGGTACTTCATACATTTTGACGTGAACGTTTTGTCCCGATACGCATCATTTTTGGGGTACTTAATGCAGAAGTGTGTTACATTATTCCTAATAGGAAAAAAATTGTCTGGTATTCATCATTTTTAGTACTCATTGTGCCCCCTGCCCAATTAGGATCAATTAACAATGAGTATTGAGGTACAATGAAACATTTTAAGTCTCCAATAAAATTGAGCTGAAACTCAGGGGAAAGTATTTGAAATAGGGAAACTCTGCAAACCCTTCAGCCCTTGCCCAATTTGACAGGAAGAAAGGGAGGAAGGGAGGAGAAAAGGAAGGAAGGAGAGAAGGAAGAAAGGAGGGAGGGAGGGAAGGAAGGAAGGAAGATTGATTGATTGATTGCCATACCCGGAAGATTTTGTGCATTCTCATGGTGGCTGAGCAGAAAATAAACCTTGTTAGAAGCAAGCGCAGGAATTCATCTCCAAAAAACTGGAGGAAGGCCTGGTCTATAATGAGGGGGGAAAGAAACAGAGAAAACTGAAATTAGAACACAGGTCGTCCTTAATTTTTGACCATTCATTTAGATAGAACCATTTGAAGTTACAATGGTGCTGAAAAAAAAGTCAACATACAATGTCCTTCAACTTATACTTGACTCCATCTAGCTCAACTTACTTCAACCTGTATCTGCGTCATATACCTAACACGATGTACTCCAGCTTATAGCCAACACAATGTACTTCTACCTAACATAATCTATGTCAATTTATCAACTGATATGTTACCTTCACAATGACTCCACCGATCTACCATGAGCAATATATGGTAGCTGCTTTGAGTTTCTTTTGGTTTTTATTTTACCAGGATTCGGAAAGATTTCCCACCCTCTCTACGTTCTCTTGACAGTTCTAGCACACAACATCCCCTCACTTCTTCATCCAAGTCATTCATGGGAACATGGGAGATGAAAATCGGAATTCTAAGGCACCGGAGTATGAGTAACCACGTGGCGGTCAAATCAGCTCTTGGCCTATCAAACGAACAAACTATCTGGTTTATACACGAGCTGCCAGTCTTTACACACGAGTTGCTAGTATATTGACACACGAGTTGCTAGTGGTTCAGGTGTTTGCCTCTTTCTTTCCTTCCCAAGCATACCTATGGAGCGGGAATGAGTCAAGAGTTGTGCAATATCCCGGTTGATTTTACGAAGGTAATCGTGACATTTGTCCCAGAGTCCTTTGCGCATGCTGGATAATCCGGAGACAAACAGGAATGCCATCAGAGGGTTGTTCAGGAAGAAAGTGAAGAGGCTTCCTCGTTGTGACTGATCTATAAGACAATAAAAACGAATGACTGCATCACACTGCGTTCAGCAGAAACAAGGCATGAGCGAGAGAGACAGAGACAGAGAGAGACAGAGAGAGAGACAGAGAGAGAGAGAGACAGAGACAGAGACAGAGAAAGAGACAGAGAGAGACAGACACACACACAGAGAGAGAGAGAGAGAGAGAAAGAGAGACAGAGACAAAGAAGTGACTCACAATGACAATTCTGAATTCTCCACCGTTTTTGAGAAGTTTTGAGCAGATATTTTATCCCTTGTGGTTAGGATAATTTATAATAAAGAGTTTGGTAGCTTTAATAATGATCCTTTTATATTACTGTCCCCCTATTTGGGGGTGAATTACACAACCACACGAGTCCCTTTGCAAATTGGTAGCATAGAAACAAAATTGAATGAATTAATCCGTAAGAGTCTTTGGGAATGCTAGGGGGTGGGGTTGCTTTCTCTCTCTCTCTCTCTCTCTCTCTCTCTCTCTGTGCTGGAGACATTCACCGTTTGGTTTGGTACTGTGGCTGTCGTTGTTGTTTTTAAAGGGGAATATCCTGTTTCCGGCCTTACTCCGGACCAGTTCTTCTCAACCTTGGTGGGACCAAGATTGTGGGGAGGGAGGGAGGATGTCAACTCCCCAGAATTCCCAAGCCAGGGAATTCTGGGAGTTGGAAGTCCAGCCATTTTAGAGTCGCCAACTTTGAGAAAACATGGCTCCGTTCTCGACTTAATGAGCACAACCAAGCCCTCCAAATTTCTGTGGCTAAGCGAGGCAGTCGTTCAGTGCGTTTCGCCACTGCTGTTAAGTGAACCCCTACAGTTGTTACGTCAGCAACGTGGTCATTCCGTGAATGTAACTTTGCTTGTAATGGCAAGTCATGTAATATATCTATCTATATATATAGTGTTTTTTTTCCAGCATCCTCCCAGGAGCACCAGAGACGATTTTTCCCCTTCGTGACGGAGGAGAACTTACCTCTAAAAGCCAGACGGTGAAGTCTCCGGCTCCTCTCATGCCTTCACAGCTGACCACCAGTTTCCCTGGGTCACAAATTATGTCACCAGACTGGACTTCATGCTGGGAAGGAGGTGGGGAAGGGGCGTCTCTCTCTCTCTCTTTTTCTCTGAGAGTGACACACCTCTCCACCCGTTACAGTTTATGGGGACTGGAAAAACGGGTGGGAAAATTAATTGGTATCGAGCGCCTTTCCAAACCAGTCCATTTAGTTAGCTCCCAACCAAGATGTGCTAAGGAGGTCCCACAGGGGCCTGTTTTCCAGAAGCAAGTGGACTTCCTTGTTTGCCTTTGAAGAGGTTTCGCTTCTCATCCAAGAAGCTTCTTCCGCTCTGGCTGGAAGGTGGGGAAGGGAAGGATTGATACTCCTTGCAGACGGCTGGTCATTTGCATCCTTTTGAGAGAGGCATTGAGGCCCCTTGGAGGTTTGCCTGGATCCTCAGGGTCACCCAAGTGGTGCAAATGGATGTGGAACCTTCTACAAACACAGTTCCAAGAAGGCTCCACACCCATTGGCACCACTCAGGTGAGCCTGAGGACACAGGCAAACTTCCAAGAGGCCTCAACAACACACTAAAAGGATGCAAATGATCAGCTGTCTGCAAGGAGTATCAATCCTTCCGTTTCCCCACCACCACCATCTAGTCAGAGCTGAAGAAGCTTCTTGGATGAGAAGTGAAACATCTTCAAAGAAAAAACAAAGAAGTCCAGTTGCCTCTTGGGAAAAAAGCACCTCTGGGACAACCATGATTCTGGATGATGGAGAATCTCCACAGACACTTGCTAAGAAGCCAGAAATGTTGCCGCTAAGTCAATCCCAACCGACCAAGTCAGCTAAAGCTTGGCTTGAAAGAAAACAGCTGTGAAAATCCACACCCAGTGCAACCCTCTGCACGAGTAATCTTTGTTTCAATGACGTCGTAACTTTGCACGGTCGCTAAATGAACCGTTGTAAGTCAAGGACTACCTTTAATGAGGGCTTTGCTTCCCCCCCCCCCAGGAAGTTTTGATAAGAGGACCTCTGCAGTTTAAATTCCAGCCTGTCTCCAATAAAAACTCAACTGGAGAGGCCTGGAAACTCCGCTCTACATTCCAACGAAAAATTCAAGGACTCCCGATTCCAAGATAAGCTACATTCCTGGGCTCCGTCCCAGTTTTCTTTCCTTCGTTTTCTCTCCTCCTGCCTCACTAAAAGCCTCCAAGAATTGTGCAATGGGCAAAAGACTTTGGCTGGCCCTTTATGATGTTGGTTGGGCAGGTGTGAAATTCTTATTTTTAAGCCTACCAACTGGACGGACATTATCAGAAGCGGCTGGCTTCCTGGCTTCGTTGCCTGACTCGGTAACATCATCAGTGCGCTTATAGGCAGTCCATGACTTACAACCGTCACTGAGCCCATGCCTGATTTTTACGACCCTTTTTAATAGCGGTCGGTAAGCAAACACGGCGGCTGTTAAGCAAATTCGTTGTCCACGACGGCTTTCTTCTCTTTTTTTTTTGCCAGAAACTGGAAGTACAGGTAGCCCTCGGCTTACGACTACAATGGAGCCAACAACTGTTGCTAAGCAAAACAGTTATTCAGGGAATTTTCTCCCATTTTACAACAATCTACAGTCGTTAAGCGAATCCCGGCAGCTGTTAGGTTAATAACCCGGTTGTTCAACGAATCTGACTTAGCTCGTCAGAAGGTCGCAAAAGGGGAAAATCATGTAATCCCCGGGACACTGCGGACTCGTCGTAAATACAAGTCTGCGGCCAAGCGTCTGAATTTGGAATCCCGTGACAGGGGCAGCTGCAACGGCCGTTAAGTCTGAAAAGTCCCCCCCCATTTTTCCAGTGCCGTCGTAACTTCGAACAGCCGCTAAATGAACTGTCGTAAGTCGAGGACTACCTGCCAACCATCTCGCCATCCCATGACTGCCTACCTTGCAACGCTTTCGGATACGTGGTGGGAGAAAGCAAGCAGACCAGCGGCTGCCCGAACAAATTGGTGAAATTCTAGAAGGGAAGCAGGAAAAGGCATCTCAGAGACAGTTTTTCTCAATAATAATAATAATAATAATAATAATAATAATAATAATAATAATAATAACAACAATAATAACAACACCCAGGACTTAATATTCAGACCCTTGGGAAGGACTCAATAGGTAAGACAAAAACCCTAAACCCAGTCTGAACGCAAGAAGCATCTGTTTACATTTGTGCATCAGGAAAACATATGGACGACACAACGGGATATTTTCCCCGGCGTGGAAGGCCCTGCTGGGAAGCAAAACTGCTTTTTCGTGCCAAGGAATGTTATTTTTTCTTCTTTCCTTCTTCTTCTTAGCATATTCCTCACGGCGGGAACGATAAGAGGTGGACGCTGTGAATATTGAGCAGGTGGTAAACCCCCGGAATAGGGGGAGGGGAGAGAGGAAGTCCCCGACTTACGACCCCAATGGAGCCCAGAATTTATGTCGCTCAGCAAAGAGAGAGTTGTTTGGGCTGGTTGTGCCCCCATTTTACGACCTTTCTGGCCACGGTTGTCTGCAGTTGTTAAGTGAGTCGCGCGGTTGTTAAAACCGAATCGGACTTGGCTGGTCAGAAGGTCACAAAGGGGGAGACACACACACACACACAGAGGGACACTGCAACCATCGTAAGTACATGTCAGTTGCCCAGTGTCACAGTGGCCGAACTTTGATCACGAGGGGTCAGACCAATACGTTTCCTTAAACTAATCCCTCCTAAAATGATATATTGAAAACCAGCAAGGATAATCTGGATAATATTCATCTCCCCGGCCTGGCTCCTCTTTCTTCCTCTCTTTCTCTTTTTTCTCTTTCTCTCTCTCTTCTCTTTCTTTCTTCTCTTTCTCTCTTCTCTTTCTCTCTTTTCTTTCTCTCTCTTATTCTTTTCTCTCTCTTCTTTCTTTTTCTCTCTTTTCTTTTTCTTTTATTCTTTCTTTTTCTCTTTCTCTCGCCCTTTTTCTTATTCTTTCTTTCTCTATCTCTTTTCTTTCTCCCTCTTTTCTTTCTCTCTTCTCTCTCTCCCTTTCTTTCTTTCTCTTTTCTTTCTCTCTCCCCCTTTCTTATTCTTCTCTTTCTTTCTTTTTTCTTTCTCTCTCTTCCTTCCTTTCTTTCTGTCTTTCTTCCTTATTCTTCTCTTTTTTCTTCCTTTCTCTCTTTCTCTCTCTCTCCTCTCTCTCCCTTTCCTCCCAGTCTTTTAGCAATGTGCCGATTAAGCAAAGCGCTCCTGACCAAGACGGAAGGAGCTCAAGCAGATTTATGAGCTGAAGGGGGGGAGGGGGGGAGTGGAGGGAATTCCTGTCTGCAGGTCTGTGCAAAATAGCAGCCAGGGCAGAGTTGCTGGCCTTAGCAAAAAGGGAGAAAATATGAATGGAGTGGCGGAAATAAATAAACAACGCCTGCCAGAAAGTGCTCTGCAGAGCTGGCCAGCTCAGTGGGCCAGGTTCTGTGATTCCGCAACGGCCCATCCCTCAAAGCAAGCCTTGTGAATCACAAGAGGTGGGTTCCCACGACCAAACAAACTCCCAAAGGAAGGGTAGCTGCAGGGCAGACTCCCCTGCGGTCCTCGATGCTTTGATCCATAAGGAACGTTGGAAAACCAAGAACAGCCTTTTGTTTATATTCCACCTTTATCGTTTCTTTATAAATAAAGCAGTGGATGTAGCTGAGGCTCCTTCCGCCTCTTATTTTCCCCACAACAGCCCTGTGAAGTGGGCTGGACTGAGAGAAAGAGGAATTGGCCCAAACTCGCCCAGCTGGCTTTCATGCCTAAGGCAGGACTAGAACTCATGCCATCCAGGTCTCTTTTTTCTGGATTATTGCTCCAAAAGAGATGCTTTGTGCAGAACCCAAACTCAAGTTCAGGTTTTCTCATCTACAACCCTTTAGATTTGGGGAGGGAAATAGATTTACAGTTTACTCTTCATTTGCAAGTTAAGGGCTAGATCCAAGAAAGAAAATATTCCTCAAATGTTAAGCTAATTTCCTTGTCTTGGCCTCCTCATGCCATTCCGTACGTAAGCCCAGGATTATCCCTGGTTGATATGCTCAAGAGGACTAGTAACTCTTAAACAGGCTTACCTTGTAGGCAACGCTGTTCGAGGAATCCACTATGACGAACAGAGGTTTCCTGGTGAAAGGGTAGAGATCACCAGGGTGCAAGCTGGAAAAAAAAGGGGGGGGGGGGGTGGAATCCAGAATGTGTAATATATATATAATTTTTCAAAGGAGAGAAAGAGAGGAAGGAAGGGAGGGAGGAAGGAAAATGGGGAGGAAGTAGTTAAGGGGAAGGAGAGAAAGAGGAAGGAAGGAAGGAAGGAAGGAAGGAAGGAA